GGATGATCTTAAAGGTCTTTTCCAACCTAAATGATTCTAAAGAGCAACTACTTAGGAGAAGAGACCAACACCCATCTCACTACAACCTCCTTTCAGGTAGTTGTAGAGAGCGATAAGGTCTCCCCTCAGCCTCCTCTTCTCCAGGCTAAACAAGCCCAGTTCCCTCAGCCACTCCTCATAAGACCTGTGCTCCAGACCCTTCACCAGCTTTGTTGCCCTTCTCTGGACACGCTCCAGCACCTCAATGTCTTTCTTGTATCGGGGGGCCCAAAATTGGACACAATATTCCAGGTGTAGCCTCACCAGTGCTGAGTACAGGGGGACAATCACCTCCCTGCTCCTGCTGGCCACACTATTCCTGATACAAGCCAGGATGCTGTTGGCCTTCTTGGCCACCTGGGCACACTGCTGGCTCATGTTCAGCTGGCTGTCAACCAACACCCCCAGGTCCTTTTCTGCCAGGCAGCTTTCCAGCCACTCTTCCCCAAGCCTGTAGCGTTGCATGGGGTTGTTGTGACCAAAGTGCAGGACCCGGCACTTGGCCTTGTTGAACCTCATCCAGTTGGCCTCGGCCCATCGGTCCAGCCTGTCCAGGTCCCTCTGCAGGGCACTCCTACCCTCCAGCAGATCGATACTCCCACCCAGTTTGGTGTCGTCTGCAAACTTACTGAGGGCGCACTCAATCCCCTCATCTCTCAGCATGTATTTTGCAACCAATTCTGAGTTAAAGCCAGGACAGCAGTTGGGATTATAAAGGATTGCCTTTTTACTCTTGGTACCGTGTGAGGCCACATAAAAACAGAATTCAAGAGGATCATGGTATTCCAAACCTGTTGTATGCAGTTTTTAATTCATATGGTGACAAAAGCCTGAATCTGAGGTAATCACTGTCACATGGGAAATAAGAGAAAATAGTAACGTCTATTTTTTTAATCTAGCTGAGGTTTTTTGTATCGTGTCTAAATGTAATCCCTGAGCCTCTCAGCAATCTGGAATGTAGACTGAAAAGCGAGGGGCAGTTAGCTGTTAGTCTTCACTAGCTTAAAGCTGTAGGCAAGTCTTTCAATAAAATTAATTACCTTGACCATGGCTGCCTCCACGGAGCAGTCTGGAAACCCTGGCCTGTCCATCATTCCTGCAGTGAGGTAAGCCATACTCTCCATTACATATGCTTTCACAGCCATAAAACAAAACTTCTCCTGTCAAACAGTAATGTGAGGAATCATACAATAATTCAGATGCAAAATCCCACAGTCAAGCCTGAAACTTAAGAACACAACTGCATTTTCATATGTTTAACATATTATCAAATACTAATTAATAAGTAGTACTGCAAAACAATCATGAAAAATCTGAAAAAACCCACCCCTCTATTCATTACATTTATCATTCTAGACATGTAAAAGATCAGTGTACAGATGTCTGCACTAAGCTCACAGAAATTTAATACCTCTAGCCATTTCTTCAAACCAGTACAGCCAAAAGAACCCCAACATAATCTATGTCCTTGCATTTAGTCAATACAAAGCACAGATTTAGTTTTTCCATTTTTTATTACCTGAATTAATCCAAATTCGCTCAGTTTCTTATTGAATTGTTTCCGGGTACAAGCATACTCTGCTGTCATTTCTTTCAAAAAAAAAAAAAAAAAATCAATCTCAAAATAGAAGAACCGTAACTGTGACACTGCTGACAGCATCTTTCTATTGACTGATTCTGACACTGCAGCCTACACATAGTAAACCCCTTGCTGCTTCAGAAGCAGTAGCTTGTGAAAAACACCCTCAGAATGATGGTGTTGATCAAGTCTGGGAACACTGTGCCAAAGACTTTTAAACAAGAACCTGAAGTGTGAACCTGTACTCTTAGAGAAGACACGTTTTAGTGCTAATTCATTACTTTAGAGGGATTTCTGTTACTGTTTTGGGTGACTACTGGTAGAAACCAATTTTAAGCCTCAAGCCAGTTATTCAAGTTGGAAGTTTTAAGGGAGATTATACCTTCTAAAAGCAATAATATATAAGTTATTCTCTCAGTAAGAATATTTTACCTCAGAAAAAATCTACAGAAGCAATAACTTTCCACTATATGAATGGAAAAAACTTTAGCATTTTAATAAAAATTGTAAGTAAGAATTATTTTAGTGTTTTAAACAAGTCAAAGCATGTTATGACTGACAATATAGACATGTTGTTATGATCAAGACTTGTGTTACTATTGTGAATTAACTGCATTATATACGTTATGCAGATCAGGGGTTTTTTTGCATGGCATCCAGCAATCCAGAACACCTAATTTCACCCACCTATCAATTTTTTAATCATTCCAGCAGATGCACTGCCCATGCTAAACCTTCCACTGTTTAGGATATTCATGGCAACCTGTGAAGAAAATGAATGTTTTTTAGATACAAATGTTGCCACAAAACTTCTCCTTAGGCCACAATGGTTACTGCTATCTTGCTTCATGTTTTAGTGCTTTCCTGGATTTCATTTGCCACTGGAATACACCTCCTGTCTTGCGACACCTGCCCTCGCATGGGTCAGTACAGCATTCAGCATCCCAGCAATAAAGCTTCAAGACTAGGCTTTTAAGGTGACCTACTACATCCAATTTCATATCTGATATAGTCTTCAGATACTGATGATCCAGTGACCTGGAATCTCCTATTCAAACCACATTAAAGTAAAATGTAGACAAAAAGGTATTTATCTGCAACTAGACAAACAACGTTCAAACTAGACAACACTGCTGAAGTTTATAAAACAGATGAAGAAGAAAACCAGAGTATTATTTGATGTGTGTACACAACAGCCAAAAATAAAAATCTTCTCTGCAGCTGACCTGCAATCAATGCTTTCCTGCTTCAGATACCTTTCAGCAACACACAAGAGAAGGGAATAATGAAAGGTGTAGAAATGAAATACAGATCAATAATGTACAAAATCAGATTTTGAAATCTAGTAGTATTGTTTCTTAACAAGAGAAACATGGGTGACAGTTCAAAGACTGTTAAAAAATTTAGCAAGAAGTCATTGTTCCTGCATTTTAATTTGTGATAATTATCTGAAGAAGAAACCATAAAAATCATCTTTTTATATGTTTACTACATTAAAGAAAATTGTTTTATTTAGCATTTAGGTCTGGGCTTGACTCCTACAGAAGCAGTAAGAAAACTGAGAAGGATCATTAAGATCAGTTTTGCAAATCCACACATCAGACTGTTGGAAAAGGGTTACAACAGCAAAGTGACCGGCATTGTCTTTATTGGCGTCACACTTCTCTCATGCAATGAAGAGAAGCCGACACCAGAGGCAGCCTTTCAATGTACTCCTCCCATTATTTTCTTGTGCTATAATCTAATGCTGGACAACCATGGGACCTGGGATAGGATCTGGACTTTCCTTGAACCATTTCCTGTTATACTCGTTGCTTTCTTTCCCTTTCTACATAGTCCACAATTGTAGCTGTAGAAAACAGCAGAAGACATTTCCCTGATTCAATTCAGTTCTGTTGAAAAAGTTGCTCCCTTTTCTGAAGGGAACAGTATACCATGAAAAACAATAAAAAGACAAACAAATAGTGGAACAAGCTCTGTAACTTTATTGAGAAGAAATACATGCAAACCTGAGATTACGGCACACTCATGCACTGTGCCAGTGAAACCAATTAATACAAAGCACGTAAGGGAAACGAGAAGTCTGTCCTCTGGTATTCTTCCGTTTGGCAATGTTCATATTACCAATAAGGAAACTTCAGTAAAGAAAAAAAAACCACAAAAGTCTCCTTCAGGCTTTTAAAAATCATCAGTAGCTATTTTTACTGCTTACCTTAAATCCTCCTCCTACTTCTCCAATTACATTCTCTATAGGCACTTTTGTGTTTTCAAAATGTACTTCGCAAGCTGAAACAGAGAGTTAACAGCTGTTGAATTATTACATAGAAATATTTAAAAGACATTTAGGAACATAACTGACTCTTTTTATAACAAGAAGTAGTTTTCCTAATGCACTGTTTACGACAGAATTACATACGCTTTGCCAAAAAAGTTAGGATTTGCAAAAAGACTGTAGTTGACATCAATACTAATGTAAAATATTCAAAATATAATTAATGTACATTGTATGAGCAGAGAACTATAGTTCTGCCTCTATTTTAAAGAACTGATATAGCAGTCATGTCCAAATGATAGATGGTGAAAAACTATAATCACCAGTAAGCTTAAGAAGAGCCTATGAAAACTTATTTCTAGATTAAAGCTACTTGGTTACTGAATCTTCCAAGTAGTTTCTTTCACTGCATAGTTAGGGAAGCTTCACATGTGCAGAAAAGAATTATACAATGTGGACTTCTTATTTCAGACCCTGCATTAGGAAGGACTCATAGGAAAAGCTAGGTAAAGAAACACGAAACTTATACTGTTATACGGAATAGATATTGACTTGCCTCTGAATTCAGATGTTCTAAACAAATTAAAACATTAAAATATTAAAACCATTTCTGTTAACAATTTTAAGTGATTCTTACTATTGGATCCTCGAATGCCTAACTTATCCTCAGGTTTCCCATGGGTGACTCCACCAAAATCTCGCTCTACGATGAAAGCAGTAATTTTGTCTTTTAGTTGTCCATCTTTATCAACAACCTCTGTCCTAGCAAATACTGTGAAAATATTAGCAAGGCCACCGTTTGATATCCAAACCTGTTTTGAGAGACAAAAGACGTATAAGAAATATATTTGTTCTGATTTTGTGAGCACTGTTTCTACGTGTTTCATAACAGACCAGCAAAGAACAGAGTGGTGAAAAATTGCTTCTTCCCTTAAAATTCTAATGAGTCTTCTGCTATTAGTTTTGCGTCTTGCGAACAAATTTCCAAGGAAAGTTGACCACAGAACGGTAAGTTTAGAGCAACTATAAAAATAGGTTGTAATATAGATTTGATTTGAATTAAATTAAAATCCATGGTGCATTTTCACAAAAGCTTGTATATCCTGCTACTTATGCCACGTGAGGGATACAAGGGTAATACGGACTGTCGACCCACTTTCCCCAAAATAATCTCAACTCTGATGAGAAAGTCTCTGAATCAGGCCACATATGTACGGCCTCTTCCACAAGCTAGGTCTCTTCACACCACAAATATATCAACAACTACAGATCAAGTCTGCAATGTATCAAATATCATTGAATCTAATATACCTCTACATTTCTTCAAGACTGTATTCTGCCATTGTTTCTTTTAGCAGAAATGTTCCAAGCAGCCCTATTTCCAATTCAGTCAAGTTTTCTTTCAAAAATACCTACAGAATCTGGCATGAAGAATAAAGAGAGGGGAAAACATGGTTTTAGGTTTCTTTTTGCCTATGCTGTCACAGAGGGGGCTAACTAACTAACCCTCCCTGAAGCTGAACACCAAGAAGGAACTCGAGTGGCTTTTCCTACCTTTCTTACCCAGAGTTTAGCGAAGGTTACTCCCTGAACAGCGTGCTTTTCTATTCTTTTTGGCCCTAAACCAACATGGGTTGTTCTTTTGACATGGTCATTCTTCAGTAGCTTGGAAATCTCAAAATTCTGATGCAGCTGCCAAGCTAGCCTCTTAATTAGCAAAACTGACTGACTGTAATGCTGCAAAAGACAAAGATGCTTTCTATAAGCTTGTGACAAAACCCTGTCGTATTTCCAGTCTCTTGAGTAGATACCTTGGAGCCGTTTAATAAGAAGTACTTCCCATCTTCGCTGAGGGTTGCTCTTGTCTGGATGGACGCAGCATCACTTCCACTAAAAGCCAAACAAGTTATTAAAGCTTAAAGAAACCAGCACACTAGAAAAAACAAAACTACATCTTTTTTACTCTTCCCATCCTTTAAAAAGTTTACAGCTGTATTAAATACTAGTATATGAATGTTAATTCTTAACTAACACGGAAACTTACTACATTCAACAGCTCTAAAGAAATCTACTTCTACTTAAGTTACCTGAGGGGACATTTCTGCTGATTAACATGTACGCTATTAATCTTATGACCTGACCAAGACGTTTGCAATGCCATGTAAGCAACCTTTTTGAGCTACACATTGAACTATGTGAACATACACAATCAAGTTTAAAATGTCTAAGTTGTTCCTCAAAAATTCATACCCTGGTTTTATATCCTAAGTGAAAAAAGGCTCAACAGAAATGAAAAATAAGTATGTGACAGTATCAATGAGCACCAGGGCACATCAAGTACTTTCTACAGGCGCAAAATCAGATTTTTCTGATTACAACAGATTACAACAAAGCAATCAAAAGCTTACGTTCTGTGATTAAAAGTTCATGAATCACCACCTTATTACATAATGTAACAAGAAGCATACAATTGCCCCCTTGAAAGAAGTTTCCTCTTCCACAAATTAAAATGCCACAATGGCTCACTTTGGGCTTTCGGCTGAAGACAGTTGTTAAGTTCTTGGAACAGTCAGATCTCAGCTGGTATTTTAACAGGGTTAGATTTCTAAAATTCAGTTCTAAAAATGATTACTTCTGTGCACTAGAACTAAGGTCTCCAAGACGACTGAAGTTACCAAGACTAGCTATCTTTTTAAATAATACTGGGCTAAATAAAGATGTTAGAAGAATTTCAGAACACGGTTAGCCCTTGTGTTTTTTTCCTGTGTGTTACTTCCAAGTCCCTTTCATGGATCACTTTGTTAAAATATCTGTGCTAGTTTAACTTTTACCTGCAAGTGGGATAGCTTTTAGAGGGTCAAAAACTGGCTTAGGGCTCTTGAATAAAAACCATCACTGATGGTTGGGAGGTATCTACATCACAGCAACATGAAAATTAGCACGTAAATCAAATGCTCGTTCCAAGTCATTCTAGCAGACAAGAATTCAGAAGAGACAGTTTCAAACTACAGTTTTGTACGGACAAGCAAGATTCAACTTCAAACATTCAACTGGTCTCAGGCCTTCAATCACTTTCCTTAACGATCACATAGTAAACCATCTGCCCATATGTTTTTAAGAAAACTGTACCTCTTCTGCATTAACAGAATTTGCAACATTAGCAACAGTCAACAAATAAACATAATAAATATAACTTCATCTTTGAAATGAAGTTACTGCTACAAAGATGCCTTTTTGTAAACTCTAAGGAAAGACCAAAATTTCTTCCTATTATTTTTGGTAGCTCCTTCAATACAGGTTTTTGTAATTTTGCAAAAGAACTGAAAGCATCCTAGAACTGTCACAGCACATTATTTCTAACATAGCACAAAGTGTCCTTTCAATTCATATGCAGTAATGCCAGAAATTTAAGTGGATGAATCCTGGAATGGGAACAACAACAGTTAGTGATTTCATGGAAACTACCACAAGCAGCACATTGGGGAAAGATTAACTACATGATTTGAAGTGTACCTTTTTTTTTTTTTTTTTTAAAATTAGCTATATACTGAAGCCATAGGCACCAAATAATAAGAGATTTAATATATTAGCCAAACAACCACTGTAATGAAGAGGAAAATAATAAAAAAAGTCATTTAGGTGTTCCAGTGCTTTCTGAAGCTTTTATGATTACAAAACCAGTACCTTCCAGGTTCAGTGAGACAAAAAGCTGCAATGTGCTCCCCAGATGCCAGTCTAGGCAGGTACTTTGCTTTCTGTTCATCAGTGCCAGCAATAAGGATTCCCTAAATAAAAAATTAACAGAAAACTTTTCAGCATCAACCTGTGTAAAAAGAAATGAAGCTGACAAGCTTCGCCAAGTTCAGGAAGCTTAATTTGCCAATTTTATGGCATAACAAGAGACGGTTTAATAAACAATGGACTTTATTATTTATCAGACATTAAATTACTTCGGTTATCATCACACAGTTGTTCCAGAGCAAATAGGAAATGGCTTATTGTTAAGTCTGCCTTCTCGGGTAAGTTTCACCATATTTTTGCTTAAGTGAAGACTTAATTGTTGCTCTGAAAGGCACTAAGATAGTCCTTCCTTTATCATTTGTCATACCTTCATTACTATCACTAAATTTTATTTTAATAACCCAAAAAGCAGCAATTTTCAAAGCTCCTAATCAGAGAACAGAACACATGATTTACTTAGGTTCCAAATTATTTCATTACATAGGCATTCAACAACTTTTTGTGAGAGTGCACTTATTTTAATGATCTCTATTGTATTTATTTTTTTACAGCAGGTTTCTTATGAAGGAAAAACAAAATATAAAAATACATGATAAAGCTAAATAATCAATGGTTAAACAGCTACAGTTACTCAAGAAAACTAGGATTAATCCCAACTGACCCAAACTGGCCACAGCAGGAGAGTAGCAGTAGTTGTGTCTTACGCTACACTTCTCATCAGACTGCTTTATGAATCAGCTCAGCTCACTATCCCTGTTCTACAGATGGCAACATTTTAAGTAAGGTTAGAAATAAATACACAGTTTTAATTAGCACTGTCTGCTCAATTCCATGAAGAATTTTTTCTTATTATAATGAACTTACTCCTATTTCAAGCTTCAGACTACTACCATGCATCCACCATAAAATGCACTAAAAGGTAGATACCTAAGGCTATATTATACAGAAAACAAGTTTAAAATTCACATGCTTGCTATAGCACATTGATCTCGGGTAAGTTTTCTTCTCTAAGCTCCCTAATATGCAGCCGTATTCAGCTAGAAAAAGTTGCATCCTTCTGAGTTCTCTGCATGGCTGTCCCACCTCCCCATAACTTTAGTCCCCCTGATATTTCATTTATTTCAATATTTATTCTAGCTTTTATCAAGTTTGCTCAATGCAAAAAACTTGGGATCATTTAAGGTATTTTTTCTAAGAATTATTATCTCAGTGTTTCCTGAACTAATAATTTTCTTGTATACTTCATATTCAGTCTTTATACTACATCTTATCCTGAGCCACTGGCAGAGGGTGCTAGGAACACGAACAACCTGACATCAGAAAGTTCCACCTGATTTATGCTTCACCGGTAATTCTTGTTATACCTGCACTCCACATTTAAACAAACTTCACCTCACCTTTTCTATGCAAGTTGTGTAGAACTACTTGACATAAAAGGAAGGCATTACCTTAAGCCCAATAGCTTGATGAGCTGCCAGAGTAACTGCGATAGATCCATCTAAAGAAGTGATTTCTCCCAAACGTGCATACATGGTATTTGATAGACCAAGACCACCTGGAACAAATACTATGTTTTATTCTAAGTACATACCTTACAATTTAACTTGCCCCTCCCCCCCCCAAATCCCTGTCAAGTACAGAAACATCAAGAATATAACACTTAACTGGGGAGCGTCTCAGTATAGATTGGATGTAACATGTCCACAAATAAGTACCACATTGCTGCAGTTGTGCCAGAAGAATGCATTTTGAAACTAACTTTTTTAATAGGCATGAGTTGTTGAATTTAGTGCTATTCAGAAAACAGATGTGTTTGTGCTCAAGCATGCATGCACACAGAGAAAATACAGCACAATCCATCAAATAGTAGAAAACAAACTTGTTTAAAACACTCTGTATATGAAAATGGTAAAAGATTCAGTATAAAAACTGCTTTCGTCTGAATTTCTGTGCTTACAGGATAAAAATGAGTTTTTTTGGTGACATTTCCATGCTACCTTACAAAGCCAGACAATTAACCCATATGCAGCTTTACAGCTGACCAGCTGCAGACCAAGCAGCAGAGGGAGCGGTGCTGCACAAGTCTCAGGACAGGGCTGGGCTGGTACCGATACACAAAGACAGCCAGGTGTCCCCAGCTTCACTGCAAACGGGGCACAAAATGACCTAGACAACACAACTGACACAAAACAGGTCCCAAGTAGACTTCCAAAACGGTATTAAAGAAGGATAAAATACAACACTTCAAAAACATCTTTAATCTACAAATGTGAATGTATCAAGAACCAAACTCGACACCAGCACACCCTTTTTGGAGGAATTTGTGATCTGCTGCTGCAAATACAAAGACTATTTGTAAGGAGCTTGAAAAGAACAGAAGTAGGTTAAATCAAAGCTGCATCTGTATGAGTCTAATGTTCAAGAATTTTATATTGTCAGGACTAGAAGTCCCACTCCCTGTAATTTAGGAGTATTTTATGTATTACTGCTGAATAAATAACTTTATCTAATCAACATAATCTTTTGTCCAGGTTAATAATTTTCTACTTGGGACAGTGGTGTAAGTCAGGATAATGAACACCTTATTTCAGCAGATGTCTCAACAGTCCTACCATTTTATGTACACCGAATAAATGCAAGAACAAGTCTCCCTGATACCATCACTGCCCCTTTACATGCTTCTCCTTCAGAGCATACTTACATGAATTAAAACTCCCACTCCTATCTATACACAGTCTTACTTCTTTTCCCCTAAGAGGTGCCAGGTTCAGGATTCAGCTTGGAGACTACTGATGACGTGCACAGTAATTCCAGCGATGCCAATGCTAAAGAACACCATTATTCCATGATTTACATAAGCTTCATTTTTCCCCTTAATGTTCTGTACTTTAATGCTTCTAGCAAATATGCCACTATTACAAACCATTATGAAAAATATCATGCAATGAACAAAGCACTGAATACATGCAATTGAAGGGTTTTAAAATATGACAAGCACCACCAACAAAAATACAGCAGTTTTAAGCAACAGAAAATGGGAAATAACCTTGTTAGAAGCATATTATTTATGGTACAGAAAAAAGTAGCTTTCTTATAGTAAGGTGATTGCTTTCCATCTTTTGGATTTTATCCAGCGTACATGTTTACAAGACAAGAAGACTATGATTTTCTTCAAGCATGCTGAATGGATTGCAGCCTTCTACAAACTGGAAGCTTAGGGAGTATTATTTCACAAACTTCAAACCAATACAAGATCAAAACAATAATAACATTAAATGAAAATATGACTTCTAAGTCAACTACATTGCCTTTCAGACTCTTCAAAAAAATTAACAGAGTGGGAAATTTATTTCTAGTTAATCAATAATAAGTTACACTTTCAATGTCATGATGCTTCCTATTGCTCTGCTTTGAGTTCTGTCCTTTGTTCTCTGCTTCCAACACCTCCTTTCAGTGGACACTAACCTCCTGTCTTCTTCCAATATATTTCTTAACTCCTAAATACCTCTCTCCCCCCATCTGGGTTAAGGTGCTCTGTCCAGATCTTTCTCCTCCCAGACACTATCCTGAAAGGAAAAACTTGAAAGAGCGTGCAAACCTCTTTTCTATCTTACTCTCACATAACCCTGCCTAGTTCTGAATACCCATGAAAAACATTTAATACCATTTCTAATGCATTTCAAAAGCATTAATTAACAATTAATTAATCAACAGAGATCACGTTACAGTACATGCAAGTTGTCCAATATACTTGAATGAATGTGTAGAAACACTTTCTTTAAAGAACTGAAATTGGTGCAGCACAGCAACACTAGTTACGTTGCCTAATACAATAAGCAAAAAGGTGAACAAAAAATGCTACTAAAATAGGGTATTACTTTAACACCAAGTAAATACTGAAGCATGTCTCCAGCCTTATACAGTATTATTGTAATCACTAAAAAAAGATGTTTCACACTCTTCTCTTCAAAAATTAGGTATCTTCCCCCCAAACTATCTTCTGCAGGCAAACACAGTTTTGTCTTCATCTGAGTTGTTCTCTTTGAAGTCTCCTTCTTTTACAATACAAAACAGATGATGCAATGACCTCATTTCTTTATAAAATTTAATGTAAAATATTAATTTCAATCCCAATTTTTATTTTATGCATAAGAATAACATTAACATTTTCTTGACAATTCCTTTGCAAGTTTAAGGGTTAATCCACTGAGGAACTAATGCCTCTGATCTCAACTGGCACTATAATGTCCTAAACATAAACTTTTTGTTCAGTATTGCATAGGAAAGATTTTATACAAAAGCTACATTTTTAATAAAGACATTATACTTCTACACTTCTGTAAAGTCAAACACATTCCTATCTACCAGTGACAGGTGACAGCTTTGATAGATCAGTTCCATGATACACTGTAGTTTGGACCCAGTATAATTTTAGGAACCACCAGCAAGAACTGCAAGTCCCACAGAATGTCAAGCTACTCCATCCAAAAAAAGAATATAAACGAAAACACTACGCCAAGAGGAATTTACACCATTTTAAATTAGTTATCTAACTTAGGCACCCAGGGTAAGAGTATGCAGAGCTCCCTACACAGCCAACAGACATTCTTGGTGCCTGCATCTCTTTATTAACCAGGGAGGAAGACTCAGCTCCTAATTTCAACATCCAAGTCAAAGGACTACACATAGGATAGTACAGACACGTTTTGCAAAACCCAAAAATACATTACTTAATATAGACTACTGGGTTATCCTTTTGCGATCCTTTACTCACCATATTCTTCTGGAATCTGCATGCCAAAGAGACCCAGATCCTTCAGTCCTTTTAAAGTTTCAGGTGGGATTTTTGCATCTTGATCAATCTTCTTAGAATCCACTACAAATACAGAAGGTTTTGTAATTTAAAACTGTGTTTCATAGTGCAGAAAAAATCTCTGAGACTGTAGCATTCTCAAATGAGCGCCAAGGTCATGGCGTGCAGTGAGTTAGCAGCAGTATGATCTCTAACCTAACTATCAGCCTGAGAGCCCAGACCTGAAGAGCTGAAGTAACTGACAGAAAAAGGGGCTGCTGGAGCATCACATCCCTCTCTGCTGTAGTTTTCCTCTAGTCTTCTGAAGCATCTTTAGAAAAGACATAGTCCTTGTTGCACCAGATACAGACGTACTCCTCATCCTTCACTTCACAAGAATTACTCTTTCTAGCTTCAGTCTGATCTTATTGACTGTCCTGTTTGCCTTCCTCCCCTTGCGGTTGGAAAAGTCTCAAACCCTAAACCGGCTCCTTTAAGATTAATAAATAATGCAGTTGGTTGGGGGCTCCTTGCCGCCACCTGCCACCCCAACCGGTTCTCCTTCCTGACAAGTAAAAAACAATGATTTTCTAGCCTTTTGATGATGACCACACAAGTAAGTCATAAACATTGCAGCGGGAAGTCCTAATTCTGTCTCTAGAGAACAATGCTCCATTTAAGTAGCCCACCTTATTACACCATCAAAGTCAAAATACAGAACCAACCAGAAGGGGTCTAAGAATACTGATTACAGCAGTAAAGTCACAACATCTACAGGAAAAGGACTTGTGAGTAGGATAAATACAGTTTTTATTTCATTTTCTCAAATATTTCTCTGTGTACAGATTGTGCTTGTGCATGTTAGCAGATTCCACAACTGGAATAAGCAAAGTATTTCCAGAATTTTCCATCTGAACTATGTCTAGGTCATGCTTAAAAAAAAAAAAAAAGGGTAGATAAATGAGTTAATTACAAAAATCTTGTTCTTATGAGTTATTCAAATTTCTGATGGATTACAAGAGCTGTTCTGTACTGTGACAGTGAAAATAAACAAGAATTGTATTAAGCGGCTCAGGAAGGCTGTAAGCCGCAGCAAAATGAACCCAGCCATCCTTCCAAAAAGTATGCAAAAAGAAATAACCCTTGCAAAAGCAACAGTGCTTTCCTAAAGAAACTTAAATGACACCATAGCTTCCTGTATGAAACTTAAAAGGGGGAGGCAACTAAACATTCTGATGTGCTTCTAAGAGAAGTTATTCAGAAAGAAAACTCAATTTAAAAAAGACTTTTTGTTCCCCACAGTAATTTTTTAGCTACATAGCATGAGATACATATCTGTGGTATGCCATCAGCTGTTCTGGAGAGAGAAAGGTATTTTTTTTACCTCTTCCTCCATTATGGAACGTTTCTAGGGATGTGGCCTCACCTCTCTGGGCAACCTGTTCAGTGCTTCACCACCCTCATTGTAAAAAAATTCTTCCTTATATCCAGTCTAAATCTATCCTCCTTTAGTTTAAAACCATTACTCCTTGTCCTGTCACAACAGGCCTTGCTAAAAAGATTGTCCCCATCTTTCCTGTAGGCCCCCTTTAAGTACTGACAGGTCGCAATAAGGTCTCCCCACCGTGTTCTCTTCTCCAGGCTGAAGAGCCCCAACTCCCATATAGACATAGGCCCATACAGACCTATCTGCTGTGTTTGGACCCTGTCACACTTCACAAGGACTCTGCTGAGACGAATCTTCTTACCCAGTGCCAATCACATCAGGTTTCTAACTGTTTAAGACTGCTCTCCTAACCTATTTTTACCACACCCTTAAATTACCCTGAATAACTGAACAGAAATAGCTGTGAATTCAAAGACAGACAAGCAACTTCCACCTTCAATTAAGACTCTATAATTTGACACTTCTGTTCCTCCCTTGAATAGGAAGGTTTTTTTACTCTATAAATGATGTTCCCCAACAGAGCAAGGAATTAAAAAATGTAATCTGCATATTACAATTTCATCATTAAAATTACCTGGATGTCATAAATTGTTATCTGTGATAATCACAGGCTTTTTCAAACTCCTGCGGTGTTTGGCAATCCAGACCTAGTTGCAGGAAATCTGAGATGATACTGTTTAACCATCTCAGAAATTGCTGTCTGTAAAAAACAATTCTCTACAATTGTTCTAGAATTGGCTTATCTATTGCACCAGTAACAGAAGAAACACTCTGCAACCCTATCTGGAATGCATATGGCTAATATGACTTTTCCCAAATAGAATCACTACTCTAATGCTGAAAAAACATAAATGCTTTTGATTTTTCATAGCTTCTCAAAGAGTCATCATTTATGACTATCTCTGCTGAATTTTGCTAAACCCTGTTTTAGTACAGTAAGACAGTTAAAAAGTTTCAGAAAAAATTCACAATATATGAAGTGGTAAATAGCATTATTCAACTAAGCTAAAATCAATTTTCAATCCCACCTCTATCCCAGAATTCTTTTACTTCCTGTTTTTTTCTATTTATTTTTTTCTGTTTGAAGATTTACTTCTCATCAGCATCCAAATACTCCATATACATAAGCCATAAATGAACATGCCTACAGAATCAGCAGCACTATATTACTGGCACCAAATGCATAAGATAACTTAAATAAAGTATAATAATCTTATTACACTACCATAATTAAATTACTTTGTAATCACTAAATCACTCGCACCAATAAGAAACTAATAACTATACCTTCTTCATTGAAGAATTTTTCTACAGGTCCTACAAACTGGTTGATCTCCTCTAGTTCTTCATTGCTAATTTCTGGATAAGGGAAAACTTCTTCCTAAAATACAAGGCATATTTTTTTTTTGTTAAAGCATGCAATTGAAACAAAAATTCAAGAACATATGCCTTTCAAATACTAGACTCTAAAAAACTGGGAAAATTAAGAATATGGAAAATATTTAGAAACAGCCTTATCTGATGCAACACACAGGACTACACTTTGCTACATACCAAAACCAAATCAGAAGGTTATTACCTGAAAAACAGAAACATTAGGGAGAAATAAAGAGATTTTAAGAATTATGAGGATGCAAAAATCCTTCCCCAACCATAAATTCTGTCAATGCATTTGCATTTTGGGATTAAAAAAAAAAGTTAATTTTAATTTGTCTCAGAATCAATTTAGTGTTGTAATGTTTTCAAAGCTCAGTCCATAATGCTGTCCCTTGGAAACACGCAGCACATTCCACCTGTTTAATGTCATGAGTACAAAGGTTAAAGAGTTCCATACTGCTTGTTATCGTCACCCTGGTATTTTGGTCATAAACTGGAAGCAGTATGACCTGACAGGCTTGAACAAATAAAAAAAAAAAAATCCAAGCACCTAACACAAGAAATGAAAGACTACATGAGAAACACACTTCTATTTTTTATCACCTGTCCCCTATTAAATAGAAGAGTCTACCTCTGCCCAAACAAAACCATTCATAATAGTCTGAAGAATCATGTTAGCTCCAAAAATTCAGGATCTATTAAATGCTATACTTCTTTAGAAAACTCTTGTATTGAAATTTGAGAGGGGAAAAAAAAAAAAGGCATACATGAGCAGCAGTTTCATGTGATACAGTCTTGACTGCTAGCTGTCATAACACTTTACTTGACAAAGTCTGTTTTGGGAGACTTTACTGTTCAACTCATTTCAGTGCATTCGAGTTATTCTTTCTTTCAATTTATTTAACCCTGTAATCTCTGACTGATGCATACGCCAAACCCTGGATTAACAAGTACTGCTTTAATACAGTGTTACATCTCAAATTTGTAACTTCTTTGTCCAGTGGCATCTCAAGACACAACAAGAACTTCCATCTTTCCTATAAAATATTGCAAGCAAAACTTTGCATAAAGTCATGTTCCCTGAAGTAAACAGAGGACAAACTGATGTAAGTTTTATGGAATGCAGCTGTTCAATGCCCAGAGCCCAATGTAAACAGACACGTGTGCTTCTGTAGGGAATCTGCTAAGCTTACACAAACAGGTGACTGTGGTTTGAAGCAGTCCTCCAGACAGTGGCTGTCCTTGAGCGCTCAAAATTACATCGTGGCTTTTGCGCACACAGGGGTGAACAGATGCACTTGTTCAGCCGAGCTTCAGCTGAGAGGCCAGCCGGACACGCGAGAGCGGGCGGGCCTGGGCGGCAGCAGGGAGCGGCAGCTGCGGCTCGACTCGCGTTCAGCGCACTGCGCAGCGA